AGGTGCCATGTGGCTGTCTGGAGCCAGCCTGTAGGAAAATACCTTCTTCTTTCCACTTCCCTGGCCATCAGCGATGGGAAAGGGAAAGATTGGGAGGGGCAGCATCTGTTTCCAGGGACAGCATGTCATCAGCTGCACACGTGTGCCAGCCTCCGTCACAGACATAAAAATACTACAGTGCTGACCTCGTGGGGTGGGGTTTGTGTGACTGCCCTTAGGGCACTGTGCACTCTCCTAACTGGATCCCATAGCCAAGTCGCCACTAGCTGGCTCACACAAGAGAGTAATGCTGTGCACAGGACAGTCCTCCCTGCAGAAGACCTTCTTTGCCAGAGTTGCTGTGGTCCTCCTTATAGACTGGGTAGACAGTGACAACCTAGAGAAGATCCACTATGATGAGTCCCTCCGTGCTGTGTGGTGGCAGGCTGCTGTCAGCAGAGCCCCCTCATTATTTCTATCACAGCCCAGACCCTGGGGATTCCACTTGTAAACCCAGACTTCTCGGAGGCACTGGACTTTCCCAGTGTTCTGGCCAAACTTGAAGACAGAGTCCAAGCAGTGGAGTGTGGTCTGGGCGCAGTGGAGACTGGTTATTGGTCTGCAGAGTTGTTGACCTCTGCTTGACCCTTGTAGGTATCATGGGAACCCCTCCCTTGGGATGTGATGATCATGGCTGGAGAATGGCTGGTGGCAGTTGGCTTGACCTGGGGACTCCTGCAAGCAGGACTAGTGGCTGTTAGGAGCCTGCCTTGCACCGTCTCTGTGTGTGATGATAGAGCCACTATTTCTCACCTGCCTTCCCACCCCTGGGGTCTCTGGACAGTGGGCTTGACCCAGGGGCCCGCTCTGACAGCAGTTTCCTGCCCTGGATACCACTGGCAAGGGATCAGCCTTGCTGGAGCTGAGGTTGGTACAGTAGCCTGTGTCCTACCCTCTTTCAGTACAGAAGTACACTTCCCACAGATGAAGGGCCAGGCCTCAATGTCCCCTGCAAGAGCTCTAGGACTCCTTAGGTGTTTTAGCACAGTATCATTCATGATTATGTCGAGTGATGACTTTCTCACATCAGTTTTAGCGATCTGTAGTCCACATGCCATTCAGTTCCCTCTGAGTGTACAGTTTTGTGGTTTTGGCACAGTTACACGTGCAGGAGGTTTCTGTCTGTCCAGAAGAATCCTCTTACCAGTCAGCAGCACTTGTACTGTCACCTGAGGATCATGTGCTGCAGGCAGAGTCCTCAGAGTGGCCACACGAGAGGTAGCTAAGACTTGCGGCAGATGACTGGGCTGCTGGGGCATTGCCCTAGGAGAGGTGAGGGTGGCTCTGGAGGATGCCAGGTGGCCAGTGGATGAGGTGTTGTCAGGAGTGAGTGTGGGGCCGACTAGCTGGCTTCCTGCTGGCTACTGTGGTCTCCACACTCTGCTCTGTGGTCCGGCCCTCTCAAGGGCCCAAGGGATGCTGTAACCCCCCCAGCTTCATGTATTCTATTATAGCAGCAGGAAGCAGAGTGACAAGGCTGTTGCCTGGCCTTCTCCCTTCCCACCCCCGGCCCAGGCAGCCATTCTACTTTCTATGTCTGTGGATTTGGCTTTCAGGTTCTCTCGCATCGGGGAATCAGACAGTGTGGCTTCTTCAGGATGTTTTCAGGCCTCATGCTGTAGCAGCGATTGTCAGTACCTTGTGTCTTTCTGTGGCTGAGTAATAAACAGTACTCCACCACCATGGTCTGTCTGTCCATGGGTCAGTTGGTGGACACTGTGGACCATTGGTGGTTGTCCTGAGTGCAGCTGCCGTGAGCAAGTGAGCAAGTTTCCGTGCAGATATCTGTGTCTGCCCTACTGGGCACGCACCTAGGGTTGGGATTGCTGTGCTCCGTGGTGATTCCACTTCGAGGCTGATTTCCAAAGTATCTGGCGAATCTTCTTTTTGGTCTGGAGTCTTGCTGAGGAGGGCGAGGCCACCCACCCGGGCAGGCACACAGACCAGGAGGGACAGGCATTTTCAGGCTGAGAGCTGCCGAGTCTCACTGTCAGTCTGTGGAGGGCCAGAATAGGCACGCCTGTCCTTGTCGAGGATTCTTTTGGATCTGTGCACCTCATTGTTTTGTCCTGGTCCCTAGCAAAGTGGGGATGTTTGGATTGTGCCCCAGCCCTGAGGCCAGAGCAACGGAGGCAGCTCCAGGATGAAGCTTCCTGCCCGCCCTGGGAGGGTTCTAGGAGACTGTTTCAGGAAAGCCTTCAACTCCTGAGTAAACTCTCAGCTGCTTCCTCTGTGGAAACAGTGGCTCAGCCCACAGCCCTGGTGTGATTGGCCCTGTGAGCCTGTGGCAGCAGCGTCCGGCAGCCTGCAGAGCTGCCCCAACCCTGCAGGCTAGGCTGTGTGGAAACCTTCAGTGGGTGTGGTGGGGAAGCCTTTCTGATGACTCACACTGTAGGGAATTCCCTAATGATTTGGAATATTTTTACTTCTGGACTCGGGCAGTGTTTCCTACTGAGAGCAGGGAGCTCCTGATAAGACAGAACAAAGGCCCTTTCAGAGTGACCACCTCCCTCCTGGCAGAAGTTGGCATTTGAGCAGCCATGTAGCTGGCCTTCCCTGGTGTGGGCACTTTGCAGAGGATGCCATCGGTGGATCTGAAGTATGCAGTTGTCCTGGGAGAGCAGGGCCACCCTCCCTGAGAACACGGTGGAGATCTGAAGATGGGAACTCATCTAAAAGCTCCTGAAAGTCTGCCTGCTGATCAGTAGCTCTGCCCGACCTCTGCCCTTGTCTATGCTTGGAATAACTGCTTTATGTGCATTTCCAATCATAAATATGTACTTGCCTTTAAAAGACCACAGTCAGTCCCTGAAGAGCCAGCGTTCACCCTTCGCACCTGTGTGATAGCTGCAGAGAGGAGAATCTTTCCACCTCCCTCCCACGCAGGCAGGAAAGCCAGAGAAAACCCCAGGCACAAACATTTGAATGTGGCACACCCCTTTCGGTGATTCCAAGCCCAACTTTTAGTGGGAAACCACATATTATGTGTGATTGATGCTGGTGCAGCTTGGGAAGTGTGGATGGCGTGATGTCCTTCTGTTGGTGGTGAGTGGTAGGCCAGGCAGGTGCTGGGCAGTGAGACAGCTCATGTAGGGTCCCTTGAGGGGACTCCAGCAAGGAGTGCCCCATCCCCCATAGGCCATGTGGCTCAGGGGGAAAGGGAATTGGTTTCTCCTGCATAACCACCTCCACCCCTGTGTTGCAATTAATTTCCAGCTTGTGACTTGAACCTACAAAGCACGCCACTGTGAGAGGCAGCTGTGCTGCAAGAGGCTGAGTGACAAGGAGTCTGTGTCTTTCCCAGGAGGTGATGGGGCCGCAGCATCCTCTCCTAGGGCTTTGTGAAATGGGTTGTCCCCACCATGGACCGATTCAGTTTCCTTCTCTCTTCCCCAGTGCATGCACTGTCTGCTTCTCCTCCAGCAAACACCTGCACCTTCTCAGGACAGCTTCTCAGTGACATGTCATGGCAGTCACAGCTCTTAGCTCAGCAGAGGTTGCACAGTGGCTGGTGCAGCCAGTGTGCAGGAGGCAGAGAGGACCTTGTGGGAAGAGGACTTCAGAGGTGGTTTCAGGATAGCACAGAAACAGTGTCTTTGCTTTATGAGGGGTGGCTTTCTCTTTGATAAACAGAGTGTGAGGGGGCATCTGGGTCAAAAAGGAGGAGCCAGGAAAGGGAGGGGATGCACGGGAAACATGTCATGGGCCTGACGTGACACATCAGCACATGTGGCTAGGGGTGATCGTGTTTCTTTGCCAACATCCCTCCGCTGCCAGAGCCCAGGAGCTGCCTGTGTTGTAAAACTGCTGCTTTAGGAGTAGCTGTGTATTTTTAGTTTCCTGCTGTTTTCCAAGAAGGGGCTGAGTGCTGGTCTGTACTAGCTGTGTTTGTCTGGTAAATGGTTTGTTCTGGGCCTTGGGCATCCTGGAAGCTGGTGTGGCCCTGGCACAGCTAGGTGATTCATATTTCCACTCTACCCTCTACACATGCAGCACAGACAGAGAAGGAGATTGTCTGATTTATCAATAATGTAGGTTTGTATCAAATGCATTTTTTTTCTATGAAAATGGAGTTTAAGTAGTTAAAGTTCATGATCTATAATTGTTCATTTTGGAGTTTCAGAAGCTGAGGAGAAGAATCTCACAGTGACTGCCCAAATGGTCCCCAGAGAGTGTGCAGTCTAAGGGTTGGAGTCAGTGAGTTTGTGAGTGGCAGATGTCCCATCCCCTGAGTGACGGGGCCATGCTGGCCACCAGCTGAGAACAATAAGTTCTTTCACTGTGCTGCCGGTAGCCTTTTTATTTTTTTTAAACATGCAAACTGCCACTGGGCTAAGGTTAAAAATACCATGTGTTTTGCATTGCTGCGTCCTGATGTGGCAGAAGTAGTCAAAGAAAAGCTTTTCTTATTTCCCCAGTAGCTCCTCCGAGCAGAGGCAAGGGCCTCTCAAGCTCCACCTTCTGTTCCCAAAACGTCCAAGAAGCAGGTGGGGTGAGGCGGGTGGTAGAGCTGGGCGGGGTCTGAGCCCCGTGGGCTTTCTGCTGAGCTCCTTATTTCTCCTTGGCATTCTCTGTTCAGAGCAGGGTGATATGTGGAGACCCCTTTGTGACTAGCATTGGATTGGCGTGATTCTTGTGAACCTGGGTATAGAGAGGATTGCTGAGCACAGGCTTGCTGTATAGCTGCTCCTGAAGGCCAAGGTTGGAAGGAGCTGTGGGCACAGCCACTTGGAGTTCCTGTTTCCCAGCCTTCTGTGCCAGGCCACTGCATGCTCCAAGCCCCCTGACTGTGAGGGTTAGCTGTCCCAGAGTCCCCAGGCTGTTGCCCTCGACCACAGCCCCAGACTGGGATGCACTCTCCTGTTTAGCCTCTTCCCTCTGTGCTGGGCCCTAAGTCATCTGGAGGACTGAGGGACAGGCTACCTACCACAGTGACAACTTCTTCCTGCCCTTTCTTCTAGATGGCCACCATGTCTGGGAGATGGAGGCAAAGACGGACAGAGACCTATGCAAGCCAGTAAGTATCCTTCAGACCGGCAAAATGAGCACCTGAGTGGAGTGGTTTTCTTGTTTCTTTAAACGAAATAATTCATAAATAATAATAGAACAAGTAACACAACAATCATGAAACACCTGCTGAAATCAGCACTATTATGATGCAAAATAACCGCAGAAGAGAATCAGGACAGTGGTAGCATGGCCTGGAAGACAACAGATTGGGCTTGGCGTGAGGTCTCATCTCTCTTCAAGACAGCAGAAAGCCACCACCTGAATGGCATGTGCCAGGCCCTGACCATCCCCAGAGGGGTGCATGGCAGGAGCACTTGTGCCTCTTATCAGGGTCCTGGTCCCCTTGCCACAGTTGTTGCCCTGCACAGTATTCCAGGCCTTCCCAAGTGTGTGCCTGCACCTGCCCAGATGCACTGTGCCACCCGGAAGCAGGGTTTCACCAGCATCCTTGGCAGGGACTTAACACTGCCCTCTCTAGAAAACATCCTAGCTGCTTTGCTGATTTGAAGTCAGATTTACCAGATTGCTCCATTTGCTTTTTGGATTTTCCAGGGAACCAGTGGATGTGCATGTGCCAAAAGTCATGGCAAGTGTGGCTTGATCTGTGGCTCGTGTCCCTAGCCTACCCAAGGCACAGGCTCTACCCACAGGCCTTCTTTACCTTCATGGTTTCTTGGTACCCTTCGCTCATTGGAGGTACCTAAGAGAAATGATTGTTCTTTGATCATTTAATCATTTCTGTGCAAAATTAATGCAGCATGGTAGATCCGCCTCCAGCTCTGCACTTCCAATCTGCATCTCTAAACAGAAGTAGGTGTCTTTGACAACACAGGCTGGGGCTTGTTGTCTGATCCAAAGCTCTGCATTTTTTACTCTACACTGTCTTTTTAATTAGTGACTTAGACCATTGCTGTTTAAATCAATTGTTAATATCATTGAATTAGTATCTGCTGTTGAGTTTTCTGTGTGGATTCTGCCTCGCCATGAAAAACATAAAGTACATCATGACTAGAAAACAGTTTTTTGAGGAATTGTGTAGTTGCCCCTCACTCACTCCTCTGACCACCGTCACAGTGTCTGAGTGGCCCAGCAAGTGAACATACGTGAAGCTGCTGTGCGCACTCTGAGGGTGTGGTCCGGAAGCGTCTTCTGGGCTAAGGACTTTTTCTTGGCCCACCTAGACACACGGGCCCCTAGAATCATGCAAGAAGGCCCAGTCAGCTGGAGGCAGTGCAGAGCCCTTGAAGGACTCTTGCTGGTGGGAGAGAGGAGTAGCCCTTAAAGGGCATGTTTGCTGCAGGTTTAGCCCACTTCCCTCCTTGAAGCTATCTCTGTCAGAAAAGGCATCTTTTATGCTGCAGCGTCAGCCTGCTTTCCCAAGGGCTGCAGCCTGTTTCTTGGGGTAACTCATCCTTGGTGGTGTTCAGGCTCCTCTGGAGCCTGTTGTCCACTCATAGCACTGCCTCTGTCGCTCTTCCGGGTTCACCTGAGAAGACTTTCCAGAAATGCTGGCTGCCGGTATATGTTAAAGCAAGTCACATGAATGTGTTGGTGCCATTTGAAACCCCCTTTTCTCCACATTGACAGGATTCCCCATCACTTCATCTCCTTCTCATGTTTTCTCTGTTCCTCCTCTGTGTATTTAACCTCAGCATACCCCAGAGGCAGTATTTTTGTCCTGAAATTTCTCTATTGAGGGAGTGCATCAGTCGATGACCCCATCAAAATGTGAGCCCAGGAGGCAGAGCGTCTGCAAGATGTTTCCTTTCTTGTTCTTCTCTTTGCTTCTTGCTCCGTGATGAACGCTGTGTCGCTCTGTGGACTGCCATTGGCACTGCTGCAGTGTGCCCTGTGGTGAGACTGAGTCCTCAAACCACCCCGGGCAGTGGGCAAGCAGATTCCGGCTGCAGAGCTCCCCCTCAGACTGCAGCAGCAGGGCAGAAACCAGGGGCGGAGGACAGCCTTGAGAGGTAGCCGGTGCATGGGCAAAGCCACACTTCCTGCTCCTCAGCTCCATCGCCCCAGGGTGATTCTGATCAGAAGACAGAGCACTTGAGTAGATTGGTACCTGTGTGCTTCTTTGTTACTTCTAGTAAAACAAGCAAATCAGATTGCTCAGGACAAGTGTGATCCCAGGAGAAGGGACCCCTAGAGGCCCTGAAGCTGGATGCTGGCACCCGCCCGTCCTTGGTAGTAAGGCTCATGGCCTCAGTTTCTTCATCGTACATAGAAGAGGTTGAACCTTAGTTTTCGGTTCTTTAGTCTTTGCTTCTAACTTGTGTAATTTATTATTAGTGTGATTCAGTCAATTTTGCACAATTGATTTGCTACAATTGTAACAGCACTTGCTAATTATAATTAGCGCTTGCAGCAGCTAATTAGTTTAACAAAAGCAGTGATACAGTGGATTTTTCTTACATCTCTTTTCCTTACTTGATAAACCAGAATCTCATGATTAAAAATGCAGAAACTATAGATTTGAAATATTCTCGGAAATTAGGTGCCTCCTGCACAGTGGTGGGCCACCTGGGACATCAGCATTCCAGAGTGGAGCTTCACTGAGGCCCTGCCTCCTTCAGCTGCTTGGCCAGTCAGGTCTGTGTTCTGATCCCCGGCCATGGTTTCCCACATGGTACCAAGTTCTGCTGGCTTGCTTTTCACATCTGTCCTTGAGATGCCATGATTATCATAAAAACATTGCTGATTTTTTTCATTGAGAACACAAAAGGGAAACAACAATCACCATAAACTGACCCATTCCATCTGCCTGTGCGTTAACCAAACCCTACCCTGGAGCGAGCACGACTTTCCTCCTCAGTTTTAGTGCTTCTGGGATTCTGATGTGGGCATCATGGCCAGTGTCACACTGATTCTATCGCCAGAGACAGCGTCCCCCATAAGCACCTCCTCTTCTCAACTTTTTGCAGGCACCTGAATAGGTGTCTGTGTCACTGTGAGATGCCTCCTGCAGCAAGGCAGGTATGGTGCTTTTATTGTGATGTCACCAATCCTTAGGTGTTAGGCCAGGCACATGCTTTGGGGCCTCTGAAGACCTCTCCCACCTGAGGCAGCCAGACAACCTCAGCTCTCAAGCAGACGGCTGCCATTGCTGTTCATAGCTTGTGTCTCGGGCCATGTGGACTCACTGTACCACGAAGGTCTCCTGACTCCTAGGTGAGCCAGAGTCAAGTCGCCCTCTTGCCTGTGAGTGAACACACATGCTGGCCAAGCCTAGCTCAAGCACATGAGCACGTGTCACATGCAGAAGCTATGTGTAGAGGAGCTCTGGGTAGCTAGAGATGGCTGTTTGCAGAAATCTAGTAGGCAGTTGAAACCTGGCAGAGGAATTTGTATATGATGCTTTATTACAGAGCATTTTAGTTTGTAAGATGCTAATCATCTGCTTCCTCTTTACTGTTTTCTCAATAGAATTCCCTAGTGGTTGAAATACCACCTTTCCGCAACCAGAGAATCACCAGCCCTGTCCAAGTCAGTTTCTATGTCTGCAATGGGAAGAGAAAGAGAAGCCAATACCAGCATTTCACCTACCTTCCTGCCAATGGTAACGCTGTCTTTCTGACCTTAAGCACTGAAAGTGAGCCGAGGGGGTGCTTTTTCTAATGGGTGCAGAAGCTGCGAGATGATGTTGCTGTGAAACAGCATGGTTGTGTTGTATATTTAAACTGTGTGACCACTTGTTAGCAAGTCATCAGAAAAGCAAAGGCTTGGAACTGTTTTCTCTTATTATTGATGCATATTGGGATAATCACTTGTCATTTGGCTAACTTCTTGCAGCAGCTGAGTGCAGCTGCTTTGCACTTGAAGCTGAGGCGGTCTTGGTGTGTATAGGTCTGTAAGGTGGAAAGCAAACATTTACAGCTACTGTGCTGGCGTCTTCAGGGATAAGACCTTGCTGTTCAGCCTAAGGACAAGCCTGGAGATGGTCCCCAGGGAAGCTTGCTTTCGGGTTGAACAGCCTCACCTCCCTGTGACATCGGCTTTCAGGCAGAAGTGCCTTTTGCTCAGTCTAACCATCCCTTAAATGTGTTGGGGATGGATTGTGTTCACTTTTAAAAAAATTACATTTTCAACTTTCAGGGTGTTTTTTCTTAAAGAAAATACCGTTTCTTGCCTTTTCACCCTCTAAAGCAGTAGAAAAGAGAGGCATGTCCACAGCATTTGGGGCTTCCTGAGTGGGCTCATGATAGACTTCTTGGCAGCAGAATGTATATAGAGGCCACAATGTTGCTTTCCTCCTAAATTTTACTGTATTTTGGGTAAGCTTAGCTATGCTAACAACCTTTTTATATTGTCTCTTTTTTCCCCTAAAAATTGACAAGATTCATATAATGTAAGAGGTAAATTATAAAGTAAAAACTCTTTGCATAACCACATTGTCATCTTAGTAAAATCTAGATTTCTTTAGAAGGTTTTTGTTTTCTCTAAATGTAAAAATCATTTGTAGTACATGAGATACAAGAAAACCATAGAATGTCCAAGTTGGTAGTAAACTACTAGGATTAACTTTTTAGTGGGCATATATAGAAATGCCTTTCAAGATTTAAATAATAGGATTTGGTTGCCGAGTTACAAGCTCATGAGGGTGTCTCTGAAGAGCTACGAGAAACACCATGAGTAGTCCTTGGTCAGCAACCCATGTCACACGCTGCTCCTCCCCTTGGGCTTGTGGGATCTCCTGGCCATTCTTAAAATCCTGTCCATTCTTACTATGTACGGTGTATCTTATGAAAGAAAATATCCTGTCCACTCTTAGAATAATATACAATATATCTTATAAAAGAAAATATTTAGTCCAGTTTTGTAAATGTTGTAATAATTATGCCCTACTTAAACTTCAGGCATGGTTGACCAAAAATTGAGTATTTTAAAGAAATTCTAGGTCTTATAAGAAACAATGACTCTCTAGAACAGTGTAGAAATACCTCAGGCATTCGTTTTTTTGTTTATTTGGTATCTTCCCACTGCAGTCCCTGCACGTGTTCGTTCACACAGCACTGAGTTTTAGCACAGCCATGCTGTGTCATAGGTGAAAGGGACCAAAGGGACCAAAGGGACCTGTGCAGGCAAGGACGGCCGCCTCCTCCTGGCTACACCCTGCCCTGTAGCCAACTGTCCAGTTCTGCCAGCCGCACTCCCACCTGTGTGTCCCGCACCCTTGGCCTTCGACACTCCTTGTCCACGCCTTCCTGGATCCCACTCTGCCTGCCTCCCACCCCGGCGAGGCTCGTCCTTCCCACAGTGCGGGTCTTCCCCCGCTCACTCGGGCTCGGGGCCCAATCTGGTCCTGGAAGCCTCCTCCATCCTGCTGTCCTGGACATTTGCCTCCAGTACTTTGGGGACCCAAGGCAACCATCAGCCCTGACTGTGTCCCCATCACAAGACTGCGAGCTCCTTTAGAGAAATCCTGGGCTGCCGAGGGGTTGCATCCCCAGCATGGCTCCGTGCTGGTGCGTGGCTTACTGTCAATATGTGCGTCTTAAAATAAATAAACGAACAGATGGAGAACTGGAGCTCCTGTGTCCGGTGTTCTGTCTGGCGCTCACCTGCGGTGCTTGAGGCCTTTTGCAGTTTTGGGGCTGCCTCTGAGGAGGCCGTGACCCCACTGTGGCTGGTGAGCTCTGCAGTGCCCGCATTCTCATGTTAATGTATTTGCAGCTCAGAGTTCTGCTGAGGCTGTTCCTGCCACGCAGCCCTTAGGCTATGCTGCGCTCCTTGAGGAAGAAGTAGCAGCTCCAAGTTCCAAAGATGCGTTCTCGTTCTCGGTGGGTGAGAGCTGTGCCGGGGGCGGGAGAAGGGTGTTTAATCAGGGAGTGTCAGCCCGATCCCTAGTTGTTTTTGGCTTGCTTGCCTTTTCCTTTTAGACCTTAGTTGTAAGGTTTCTAGTGTTTCCTCTAGAAAACGAGTATTGCTACATGGGCTTTGTGTCCAGTTCCAGTTCCTCATGTCTGTGATTCCAGCAGACACTGTGTTTGGGGAGATTCTTAAGATTATCAATGTGCTGTTGTGGTACACATAATACCAAATAAATCCATTCAAATCTTACCTGAGAAATTTATTTTCATACACAAATATGTAAGTTTTCCCTCAAAATTGTATGTAAGGTAGGATCCTTTTCTCAGCTGTGACAGGTAGCTCCCATCCTTCAAGTCCCTGGGAAGGCTCCTGCTCTGGAACAGATCTCTCCAGGTGCTTCCCTTCCTGAGCGAGGATGTTGGAAATCAGAGAGCCCATGTGACGTGCTGAGGGTGGGGAGCTCTCTGCCTGGCTTCTGTGTGTCTATCTGCTGATGACTCAGCAGCAAACAAACACTACCAGCAACTCCTGTGTTACCCACCTGTTTTCCTGACCCTCCCACCCCACCTGCCCACACATTTGAAGCTGGCTTGTCACAGTGGACATCACGTGCGGCTCAGTGGGCCGGCGTCTTTAGAGCAGGCCTGGAATGGGCCTGGGATGGTCTGGCTCTCTTTCCCCTCTGTGTGCAGCAGGTGTCAACCTTGAATGTGAGAACCCTTGCGCAGAGTGGTCACAGCCATTTGGAGAGCCCTGTACTCAGCCTGGCACCGTTAGACAGCCCTCATGTGCAGTAACGAAGAATCACCAGGCAGGCAGGGAAGAGGCTGCAGGGCACGCTCACACCCAGAAAGGCTTTCTGAGTTTCTGTTTTGTCACTGGTTTTTCTCACGGTATCCAAATCTCATCTTCTGAGAGAAAGGTGTCCTTCTAGTCAAGTCAGCTGCCCAGTAGCTGCCATGAGGCACTCCGCCAGGAAGGAACATGGCTCTGCCTTGCTATTCCGACACATCAGTTAGAATTAGAGCGGACGCAGTCCGGTAGAGAGGAGTGGATCACATGGACTTGAGGATGACTGTCCACACCTGCCTGAGTATCTGCTAGGGAGTGTCCTGGGTCCCTGGACCAAGTGGGGCTGGGAGGTGGTGATGCCTATTGCCCAGGGCCAGCACTCTTTAGAAAAAGAAAACTAAGTCATGAGCTCAAAATAGGTGTTTAAGATGAAAAAATAAATCCTGACAGATGTTGAATCTTTAAAGTTTACTCTTTCATCTAATTGTTTTAGTTACTAGAAATGCTTCCGAGGTGCCTTCCCCAACCTCGCCCTGTCTGGACACACGGCTGGTGGGTGCAGGCACTGTCCTGTCTTGAGCACCCAGTAAGTCCTACCTCTGGGCACCAGGGGCCAGCAGCCCCGCAGAGGTGACTGGCTAGTGTGCCGGGCAAGGTGAAGACCAGCAGGGACCTGTCCACCTTGGGACGGCCAGCCCCTCCCCACCAGCTCTCCCCAACCCTGCTGAGAGAGGCTGGGATCTGGAGATTGAATTCCGTGATGGACAGAACTTCATTTCCTTTGTGGCTACTAAGGGGGCTGTCTTTCTGGTCATATTACATCACCTCAGATTGAAAATCTGTTTCTTCCTCGAGAGAGAGGAAAGGGAAATAGCATCTACTGCTTTCTTGTTTATGTGTTAAATCTAGAAACAACAGTCATGCCAGAGGATGTAACCTGAAGAGGCTCTGAATAGCATGGACAGGGCCTAGATCCTGCAGGGTTCCGGCTAATCCCAGTGATCATCCAGCAGAGAGGCTTCTGTGTGCAAAGCCCACCTGGACACCAGTCCAGGGTTTGTCCTTGCCTTTGTGTCCCAGACAGCAGCCCCATCCAGGGGCTCCATTGCCACCTGTCAGTGTGGGCCTTTCCCTCTGACATACAAAAACTCCAGCTGGACAGTGTGCAGGCCCCACCAGAAACTTCCTGCCACCGAGTGAGGTGCCTCCAGGAAGCTCAGCCCCCTTTGGTCACTGTGGGAGATGTGAGGGAGATGTGTTCCCTCCAGCCAGCAGCCTGTCCATCTGAGACAGTCTGAGCAGCCCAGGTCCTTGACAGTCATTTTGGATTTACCTTTGCCCTGAGCTTCCTGGTTCGTTTCACTGCCAAGTCCACCACATTTGAAGTTTAATCAGAAAGTAATTATCTTCATCAAACTATACATGCTTCATAGTGACTAAGTTAATCCGCTTCCTTAGGGACCAGTCGAGATTTGGGTGACTGAGAATACCTCCAGACCCCCTCTTGATTTGCATCCTGCTGAGCCCCTTGGGTCCTCAGTGCCAGCCTTGGCCCCCAGCCCCTTGCCCTCCTGGGGAGAGGGCTAGAGCTTGGAATGAGCCCGTCTGTGCCCCAGACAGCCGCTCACTGGGAGAACCCTGGCATGGATTCGTGAGTGTTCCTCTTGGCATCACTCTGAGAGCTGCAGCCGCCCTGGTGCACAGGTTGGCTGTGCATGGCTGGGCCTCTTCCTACAGCTGCCAGGGTGGTACCCCCAGACTTGGCCCGCCCATCCTGTTCTCTGAAATAAAGTCACTCTCTGATCCCTTGTGAATAATGGCTGCCAGTCTCATCAGCCTTGAGTGCTAAGCCCACTCTTCAAGCTTCAGAGATGGTCCTGTCTCTGCCACACTCAGCCCTGGTGAAGCCAACATTTCCCAGGTCACCTTCAGATGTCCTCCTGTCCATCCGAGGCC